TATGCTCGTTCGTGCCTGAAATAATGCACGGAAGGGCACCTGAGGTCTTCCTCCACCAGTAAAGCTGGAACGTCGCCAAATGACCTATAAGTATAGGTTAAAGTTTATAAGTATGTATTTACAAAAATAAATTGGTCAGGCGCTGCACAGCAGTGCAACCGATATATATTTGTAAAAACGTACTAATAAATTTTAACTGACTTGGTGTTTTCAATTATTTTTATAAACAGTCGATTTACTAGACTGATTAACATTTTGCCGATTTACCAAAGTAAATGTGTTACGATTCATTTGAAATACTGCAATCCTATTGGACAAAAAATAATTTTAAACACTAACATGCTCTAAAACGCCAGCATATGACAAAACCAGCATGTTGAATTCTTCTGATATGACCTTGACTTTTCTATTGACCTGGACTGTCAAGGTCAAATTATTGAAATTTGTTTAAATTGACATAACCTCATTAAGTTTTTTACCGATTTGATTTATACTTGAACAAAAGAGCACATATGACAAAACCGACATATTGAATTATTCTGATATGACCTTGACCTTAAATTGACCTTTATCATCAAGGTCAAATTATGAAAATTTACTAAAGTTTATTTATGGATTTGGTTCATTCTTGAATAAAAGAACACTTATGACAAAACTGACCATGAAGTTATGAAATTTGATTTATAATTTGTTCAAGATCGTTATGTTTTCTAAGAGAATTTATTATTGCAATATTTTTTCTGAAATGTGTTTGAAGTTAGAAAGATTTGAGTGTGTTCCCTGTCAGGGGGTTGCTCATGTTTATGTCATAATCATGATTGGAAAACATTGTTATTGGGAAAAAATTGAAATTATAGTAATACATGTGTTAAACTCATATACTCATTCTTGTTATTTTGGTGTATTAAATGCTTATTATTTCAAACTTCCACATTTATTTCCTTATAATTGTTAGTATTGTACGGTATGCAGAGTTTTTTTCAGTGCAAGTGTGATATTGTTATAGATATTATAAATAAACTTTTATTACTGGATTTTTTTTTTCATATTTCCTTTGAAAAAGGAAAGAGTTGCATAAGGAATAAAAGTTTAGAAAGTGTATAAATTTATGTTGAGAGAAAAAGGAAACAGTTGCATTAGGAATCAAAGTTTAGAAAGTGTATAAATTTATGTTGAGAAAGCTTGCCATAGTAGATAAATGGTGCAATGAAATGTACTAACATCAGTGTTTAAAGGTATTTGTCTATTTGATCCTTTACAGTTTTTGTTTGTTTGTTTTGTTTTGTTAATTAAAAAGAAACAAGAATAGTAGTGAAAGATTGATGAATTCACTAATGCAGATGTATAAAATACTTCAGTGTACTAAATCTATGTCAATGTATTTGTTGATTTTTGTTTATATGTACCAATAATTTACACCATTTACATTTGTATAATATATGTGATCTTTTCTTGCCATGATATTACATGTAAATCTGATCTATGCTTGTGGACAATGTAAATTTCATATTTTCCTGTCCATGCTTTTATCTGATCTATATTTGTATAGTTCATTTATGCATTACATTAAATTATTTGTTTCCTTTTAAACAAGATGATCGCTGATAATGGTGATGTGTTATATAGTGAAACATAATTATTTAAATGTAACATTACGTTAATTACAATATCTGGTCCAACACTTTCTGTGTTTGTGTAATGTAAACCCCCCTCTCCCCCCCCCCCAAAAAAAAAGAAAAGAAAAAACAACAACAACAAAAGGTATCAATGACATCTCTATTTCTCAAACTTTAGCCTGTAGAGTGCTAGCAAAAATAATTCTTAGATATCAGACAGGATTGTCTACTGTTTACACCAGTGCTAGAAAAACCTGTCTTACACCCCCCCTCCCCCATTGTAAAACAAGTTGTGTGTTTTAAATGACGCCATTCCCACAAGCCTTATTTGAATGAATTGCGTTCTAAGGATGACCTCATTGTGCAATTATGAATGAAGTTGTTATTTCATATGTTACTATAAGAAAAGAGTGCTGAATGAATACATTAGATTTTTAATCTTGAAATTTCTTTTCGTAATATCATTAATTTGTAATATGCAAGAAAAAGAATCAAACTCCAGCTGTCGTCACAGACATGATTTTATTATACCCAGCTCTCGGGGTAACTGTTTAGCAGAAACTCAGCAGAGCCTCGTTACTTCCATAAACAGTTACCCTTGAGCTAGATATTCCGGTCTGTTCTGGCAGTTGGTGTAAGGTTCTAATATGCTATGGTCGCTGGTTCGATCCTAGGGTGATGCAAAATTTCAATGCAAGTCACTTGACAATTAATCTCTGACATGGGGCGTCTGTAGCCGAGTGGTTAAGGTCGTTGACTTCAAACCACTTGCCCCTCACCGCTGTGGGTTTGAATCCTGACAGGGACTTTGGATTCTTTCATGTGAGGAAGCTATCCGGTTAGCTTACGGAATGTCGGTGGTTCTACTCAGGTGCCTGTTTGTGCCTGAAATAATGCACGGAAGGGCACCTGAGGTCTTCTCCACCAGTAAAGCTGGAACGTCGCGATATGACCTATACTGTGTCGATGTGACGTAAAACCCAAACAAACAAACTTATCTCTGACATGGAGTCAAATAGTTATTTGTCACTCACTGCTGATTCAGAAATCATTGTGGGTTTTTTTGTCAGTCATTTACAGAGAAATTGGTAATTACTGGTTAGTTATCCAGGAAAGTCAGGTAAGTGAATAAACTGCAGAGATATGACCAAAGTTTTGAAATGAAGTTAAAATCAATCGGCTCAATTTTGATTCTTAATAATGTTTCTCCAAAACTAACACACAAATTCAGTTGTGAAACAGTGTGTTCTATTGTTGTAGCTCACCTGAGCACAAAGAGAAGCCAAGTAATAGTAAGGTGTCTGCCATCCATGGTTATCCATTGAATCTGTGGTTATCCACTGTTTTTGTGGTTATCCACTGTTTTTGTGGTTATAAACAACATTTCCTCCTTTAAACCACATGCTGGACTTTAATAATCCTTGGGTGGCCCTCTACAAATGTAATATAAATGTTTCCAGTCTGTTGTATAAGTAGGTCACAGGATCTTTACCTAAGAAATTAAAATTGTTACATGTCACCTACAAATGGTTTAAATCTCATCCAGGGTCAAAATTTTGTGAAACTTCAAGGGCTTAGTATTTTTGCATTGCCTAGTAGCAGTGACTACAAAAGTTATTAAAATCATGATCCCAGGGCTTCTTTGGATTTACTTAAATAATAACACATTTAAACATTCTTGTGTGAAAGTATATTGTACATAACAAATTAGATATCTACAAAAGTTACATGAATTATGCTGCTAGGGTCAGAAATGTCACTGACCTTTGGTCACATTTTTAATTTAAATTGATTTGAAATGTATGCAAAACTAAAATATAAAACTTTAGCATTGAATCTGCATGTACATTGCTTAGCATATAGAAATTTTGCTTGTGGCATTGCTTTATATACTCTTGTTTTATACGCCCTAAGAAACTTCAGGACTATTATGGTATGGTGTTGTCTGTCCGTCTTTATGTAGACAGTTGGTTTTCAAAGGGTACTTTTGAAAGATTATCAATGAATGTGCTTATATTTGGCATGCATGTTTATTGCAAAACATATGTTAATTTTATTAGTGACAAAGCTATGAATTTATAAATAATAAAGCTACACGCCTCCAGATTAGTCAAAATATTTCAATAAAATCGAACTGGAGAAAAATGTACTAAGATGTAAGGAAAAGTAAAAAGTTTCAAGATTCAAGTATTATTTTACATATTATGTACAATTTATGACTGATTTTCAGTATCTTTAGCTATATTTCTACTGCGGTACTAACACAGTAAAGGCTATTTATGCATATTTTGACCACTTTTGGTACTTTACGAGGTTTGTAAGTGCCATTGACAATGTGTAAATTGCTTCCTTTTGGTTACTTCACACTATTTCTCATTCAAATACAATTTCAAGATTTTCAAGAAAATTAGCATGAATCTAGAGGCGTGCTGCTTTAAGAAGAAGGTTTAATTATTTTCAAAATGCTAATATGTTGTTACCTAAAAAAAGAGACTTTATTTTTGCTTTCAAATATGATTAAAAAATCAGCATCTGTGCTATTTACAACAATAAATTTGCTACCTATCTAGAAAGGATATGAAAGTTTGTGATATGTACCTTCTTTAAAATTTGCCATCAGATTTATGTTGACCCTCCTCAGTGGCGGTCTTGTTCTTTCATAAGAGTTGTTAAAAAATTTCTTTTATAGATTATTGAAATAGCATTTATGTTTGTTTAATATGTTAACTTATGTTAATTGATTTTATTTATTATTAAAATCATTGTATAAAATGCAACTGTAACATGATATTTCACTCATTCTTGTTAGGTACATTGACTTTCTATGCATTTTTATTGTTTATCTATATAGTTTGATCCATATTGGATGAAAGATTTCTTTTGGTGCTTTGAATCATTGAGCTTATTTTAGGTGGGTTGATTTTAAAGTTTGTAGGTTTTACTAAGTCATTTAAATGATGTTATTTGTAATTACAATGTAACAATGTCATAAGGATGATATTCAGTAAGGGTTTATGTATACCAGAAATATTTAAAGGGACTCCACTAAGCTTTTGACATGACAGGACTGGAAATAACATTTTTGAGGTTTACATTCCATTTGATTTAGGTCTAGACCAATAAATTGTAAACAAAATTCCATATCAATTGCTCACACTATTTTTCCAGAATAATTATTCTATGTTTGAAAAATGACCCAAATTTGCAAAGCACTCAATCTGGGCTAAGAATAGCATAAAAGTACTATTTTCAATTTATTTCAGAGTATATTTCTTAAAAATCTTTTGCATATCTTGTTTTATTGTCTCATTTGGTCTTTTATTGTCTCATTTGGTCTATGTAAGAAATTCAAATTACATGTTTTCAGAATTTAGGATGTAAGTG